AAAACAAGTGATTAAGGAAGGATGAAGCAATATCTGTATCTCTCTCTATATATATATATCAAATAGATATTTCAAGTTTAAAAATAAGCATCGATTATATATATATCTTTAATAAAGCAGAGACTCTATCTCCAGCGCTCACCTGGGAACAAGATGTGGAACCGCTTCACCCCTGGCTGCCCATGGAACTGGCATGGCATAGCTCACCAGCCTAAATTTTCCACTGAAACACCCCAATCCAGGCTCACATCTTGACCCCAGCACTGGGCAGGTCCCCTCCAATCACTCCTATGATGCTGTTTCACCACTTCTGGCTGTTTTCATCAATTTCTAGATTTTTTTATGCCTGCCCAAGCACCAGCACATCCGAGGTCTCACCTGGGGGGCATTAAATGCAACTATTTAATAGCTGTATCTGAACAAAAAAGGCATTTTGCTCCGATCTCCAGCCCTTCCTAGGGAGTCATTACAAGAAATTACCAAGATAGGATCACAGCATGGAGGCAGACTTTATTATTTAATTACTGAGGTGGGGCAGGGAAAGATGTTTTGGGGGAGCCTGGCTCCGTGCTGGCACCAGCAGGAAAAAGTGTTATTGCTGCAGGTCACCTAAATGGGGAGAAAAATGGGGTGATGCTGGTCTACAGGAGAAAGCACTGGAGGTTGAGACAGATTTGGCCTTTCCAAACCAAAGGCAGCATCTATCCCTGATGCCGGAATGCCCAAATCCAGCTCTCCGCCTCGCGAGGTGCCGGCATGCGGCTGTGTCTGGCTTGCCGGGCGTTTCCATCATCCGTGAAATGTGAAGTTGGAATTTTCTGCTCCCCCCCTCCATCATCCACTGAGCCTGAAATCAATTATTCCCACCCGCACGCTTGCCATCGATGCATACGAAGTGCTCGGTAGCCGCACGCTGTTGCCGCAGCTGTGGCAGAGCGGGTTGGTAACAGGGTTGGAGACCCCTTCTCTTTGCCTCTTTCTGGGGCCTTAGGGGGAGAAAAGACCCCCATAGGAAGGGCTGAGCAGTGATTTTGGGGGTGTTTTGGGGGCTTACCCAGCTGCTGGTGCCTTCAGATACTTGTAACCCTCCAGGTCTGGACCAGGGCACACTGGGGCCACTGAGCTGCATCAGCTTTACACCCCCTCAGCCTCCATCCTGACCCCACCATCCCTGGGCTGCTCAGACACACCACACCTTTGGATAAGCACAAGGCCAGCATCCATCACCTCCTTCGAGGCTGCCCCCAGATTTGGGGAGGAGGAGGAGGAGGAAGAGGTGAAGGCTGCAGGAGGAGGGGAAGGATGCACATCCCTGGTCCCCAGCTGCCGGCTGGCGCATCCCTCCGCTGGCAGCCCCCGGGGGTGGGCTCAGCGACGCACGTGTTCGGGGAGGGAGGTGTGGGGATGCGTGTATACACTGTCTATATATACCACCGTGGCACAGGCACCGGAGAAGTCACAGATCAGAGGAGCCGGCAGCCGACAGCACACCCGCAGGTAGGAAATCTGCTTTTATTTTCCATCCTGGGGGGACTTGGCTGGGAATTTTTTTGTTTGAGAATGGTTTGTCTGGCTCCAATTCACCCGGAGATATTCCTCTCCTTGCTAAGGGTTAAATGAAATATCTTCCCAGAGGGAGAAATCCATCTCCTCTATCCCACAAGAGGAAAAGTTTCAGCTTTGCCATCCAGCCCCAAAATCAACCAGAGTGGAGCCGGAGGGATGCAACAAGAGTCAGCACAGGCCACCTGCCCAAAGCCAGGGGGAAGCCCACGGGGTGATGGTGGGTTCCTCTGGAATGAGTAGAATTTTTAGGGGATTTTTTGGGGAGCTGCCGTACCACGACTTTCCCCATTCAGTATTTCTGCCCCTTTCTTTCCTAGCCAGGACTTCACTGGGGCCACCACAGGATGCTCCGGGAGATGCCTGGCTTGCGAGCAATCCCTTTTTTCCTCTTGAAAAAGCACAAAAAGGAGGAAAATGGTTTATTTGTTGCTTTGATTTTTTTTAATCTCCCTCAGAAAAGCAGGAATGAATGGCTGAGACATGGGGACGCAGGGAGTAATGTTCTTACTGAGCTTTTTTACCTCTAAACAGCCTTTCTCAGCCTCTTGAGCCCACATCTGTGTTTATAGTCACGCCGCGGTGTCTAATTTTGGCCAATTATGGCCAATTACCTGATTGAGGGGGTTCAAAAAAAGAAAATGCTTCTTTTTCAGGCAAGCCCTGGGCATCTGCAGCCAACCCTGCCCCCAGCCTCAAACCTCACCGATTCTCCCTAAAAATCCCCCAAAAGCTGCTTGCACAAAGCCGAGCGGCATCGCCAGGGTTTGGGGGAGCTGGGGAAGTATTTTAGCCAGTGCCAGTGGGGGACACTGTTGGACAGTATTGCGCTTTTTCGGCTGGAAAAAGCTTTGACTCCTTCAATGCTGGCTCCCAGCGGGGCTGGATCCTGCCCCATCGCATCTTTCTTGCCCTCTGGATCAGGCCTGGGCTTTGGGCAGTGTGGGAATTAGCAAGAAAAACATGAATTTGGGCTGGTTTGCTCCAGGTGTGGGAAGCGAGGAGCTCCTAAATGTGCTCCTCATGTGTCGGGACTAATCCTGACCTGGAAAAGCGAGAGCTTCGCTACATTTAAACCCTTGCAAAGGTGTTTGGGGAAGGATGTCGATCCTACTGCTGGGATAATCCCTTCTGTTAGTATCTCCCATAGGAAAAGGGGCTGCAGAATGCCAAGACAGAGGCAGGGAGTAGCTCCCCAGCACTGCCCGCAAGCTCCTACCCCAAATCACATCAAATCAAGCGAATAAAACCCATCTCAGCAAACACCTGCTTCCCCTCCACCTCTTCTCCTCTGGTTATTCACATCCCACATCTTTCCCGCTGCCCCCCAAATCAGCCCTTTCATATGGCTGCATCTCCCACATCATCCCACCCAGAGCAATAAATAAAAGCCTCTTGTCCTTACAGATAACCAGACCTTGCCATTATCTGAACTGCAGGCTGGATTTCTAAATAAACCCTCTTTCTTTCCCCCAAAAATATTAATGAGGGTCATTCCACTGGATTGAGAACTCTGGAGGATGCACCCTCTGGGAAGCCTGGAGCAGTGGGGGGGTCCCAAAGCTGTTTTGTGAGATGAAGTGGCTATAACCTGGCAACCCCTCCCAGGATGGATAGGTTTAGTTTTCAGGGAGGAAGAGGAAGGTTTGTGTCCAGGAGCAGCCTCAGTGTCCAAGGAGCCACGGAGGTGGCTGTGGTATGACACCGGGGCTGTCACAGCCTTTGCCAGGGTTGATGGCATCCCAAGACATGAAAGCAGTGGGACTGGTTGGTGAATCCCTTAAGAAATAAGGCCCAGGTTTGGTTTCCCCCCCAAAAAAAAAGATGGAGCAAAATACAAAGAAATGGAAAAACTGTGGGGAAATGAGAAATAAATGGGGGGAAATGATGAAAAAAGGGGGGGGGGGGGAAGGGGGAAAAATTTTAAAAAATAAAAAAGGGGGAAGAATGGGGAAAAAAAGAAAAAAAAAAGGCATCTTTTTTTTCACATGGATCTGTGAATGTGAAACTCAGGAAGGGCTTCGAGCCGTCACCACCCCATTACCTGCAACCCCCCTCACCCCAAACACCCAAGGGCAGAAGCAAGAAAAAAACCCCACCACACTTGGTCCTTCCCTTTTAACAGGCTGATTTAATCTGGGGACACACACACACCAATGCACAAAAGGGGGGGGTGTTTCCCTCTTTCCCACCGCTGGCCCGGCCGGTGATGCTGGCAGGGTACCGCATCCTGCCCGCCCGATAGCATCTTTCAATTAACGGGGAAGAAAAGCCGAGCTGTAATCTCAGAGCCTCCTCCGCAGCCAGATGTGACCTGCTTAGCCCAGGACATTGGACTTGATGTCTCATGGGGCATGGGAACAGGGCTGGGGGGTGGGTTGCAGCCCCCTCCCTGGCTCTGCCAAACCCGATTTTGGAGCTGAGTGATTTGGAGGGGGGGGGGAGCTTGCCCTCTCCTGGGAGCTCTCTGCCACACCTCTGACTCACACTGCCAGCCAGTTTTAATGAGACTGAATGAAGATTAAGCCTCAATCCCTGCTCTTATCAGCTTCCCCTTGTACTGTCCAGCAAATGACAACTGGGAGCTGCCAGGCTCTGTGTCACTGCCTGGATGGCAGGGACCAAAGGTGACTGCAATGCTGGTTGGGGACCCCACCAGGTGCTCTGCCTCCACTGCAGAGTGGGGTTGCCCTCCCCACCTCGGTAGAGTGGGAAATAAATGGGGATCCCCAGGTGCTAAAGTCCCCCAAGAAAGTAGCCTGAAATGGTGCTGGAGCAGCACACAGGTTGCAAAGCCACCATCACTGAGGTCTTCCTCACCTCTGAGCATCCCAGTATGGGGGTTTCTGGGTGCTGCTGCTCCAGTGCTGGGACTTCAGTGCCACCAAGGGTAGCACCAACCTTCACATCCCTATCCTGCTCCTCTTCATCACCTCCATCTCCTGCCCTTGCTGGCTTACAAACCTTAAAAACCAGAACCAGGACCTGCTCCCAAGGACCGTGGGGGTGTAGGATCCCTTTTCCTGGAGGCATGAGGGCGAGGAGCGGGGCAGGAGGACCAACCTTTCTGCTTGCAGATGGCCATGAGAATGCATCAGGCTAAATCTCCAGGAAGTGGGAGGGAAGCACACAACCTCGGTCATGTCTCTTAGTCGCTGCCTGTCACCAATGCTGGCAAAGCCAGGCAGGACACATGTGGGTTCTTTGGGACCTGGCTTTGCTGCTCCACGCTGTGTGGGCTCAGACTCAAGCAATCCCTGCCAGCAGCAATGGCTGAACCCTCCAGAGATAGGTGTGGCACCGCCACAGAAACAACCCAGAGGGGAAACCGGAGGGGGGCATCCTCACCCAGCTCCAGTGATGCTCAGATAAGGAGCGCCCTGCTCAGGGGACAGCCAGGGACGTGCTGCCCCAACACGTCCACCTGCTAAAATAAGCCCCGTCCGGGACACGTGCCATGAGACAGGCTGGAAGAAATTAAGCTGGGACACACGGGATCTGTTTTTGAGAATGAGGAGGCACCGGGGCTCCTTTCCTGAAAGTGTAATTCTGTCAGGGAGACCGGGAACACGCGTGCCTGGGCTGGGGTGAGGGAGGACGGGCTGAGAACGGGCACTTCTCGGTGCAGGTGCAGGGCTCGGTGGTGCCGGTGCTGTCCTGGCTTCACGGGTTTTCCCTCTCCCGCGCCGCAGCCGCTGCCGGTGCCGCCATGAGGGCTGTGCTCTGGGACCTGCTGCTGCTCTGCCTCTTCGCCCGGGCCCGGGGCGACTGCCGGGGGGACTGCCTGCACTGCGACCGCCACCTCTACCGGGACAGCTTCGACGTCCTCGTAAGTGCCTCTGCCTGCTGGCTTGTCCCCTGCCATGGGCAGCACCGGGGGGGTAGCACCTCCTGTACCCCACTACACTGGGTGGGCACCTTCCTCTCTGTGCTGGGTTGGGGTTTGGTGTCTGGGGAGGATTTTGGCTGCTGGTTGATACCAAACCTCAAGGGAAAGGTGCCACGTGCCATCACTGCCCCTCCTCCTTGGGCACCCCCCAGGGATACCGTCCAGAAAGATGCAGACTCCAAATCAGCTTCTGGAAGTGATGGGGACAAGGCTGCAATGGCCCAAGGAGAGTCCTAAGAGGCTCCCCAAGACCCTGAACATTCCTAACCTTCTTGCCCAATGGCTTGCAGCATCGCTGTCCCTACCTATGCCAACCCCAGACTGCTGCCAATGCCCACCCCATCCTCCAAGAAGCCACCCAAATCTCCCTCTGAGCCCCATCAGGATGGGACCAGCTTTGCAGATGGCTGGTGAACCACAGTGTTTAGGGGGGCTGGGCATCAAGCACCCTGCAGACCCTCTCACCGTCTTGATTTGCCTCCAACATCAGATGGAAAGAGCCACTAAAGAGCATTTTTGTTTTTTTCTTTCAGCCCCTAATCCTTTCTTTTCTCCTCTGCTGAGCCGTGGCTGTGCCCTGCCCAGCAGCATTTCTTTCCCTCCTGCTCCCCCTCCACTCCTGAGGGATCATCCATCGCTTCCTCCCTGCCTGCTCACCAATTTATAAGCAATGATAAACCATAGCAGGTTGAGACATCCACCTGAAAGGAGCCAGCAGCTCAGGAAGCCCCCAGGGCTGGGAAATATCCCTGCAAAAACATGAGGTACCGGAGAGTTCCAGGGCTCTGTGGAGATTCTGGAGCCACTTCAATGCCACCCCCTTGCAGGCAAATCCTGCTTTCCCATGTCATTGCCACCACGTTCTGGAGGGCAATTGCTCTGGTTTTGCGCCAGCATGTTGTTTTGCAGTCTGAAGGTACCAGTGTCTCTGCAGCCCCTGCCTTCCTGCCTGGGCCTGCTTCTGGAGCTGCATTTTTCTCTATTTTCCCTGGCCAGCAAGATGGAGAAGAGATGGGATGGTTGCTGGCTCATGGGTCAGTACAAGGTTGTATCTCAAAGGGACTGGTTTGTACCAAGAGCAGAGGAACCTGGGGTTTTTCGAGGCTCAGTCTGAGCTGGAAGAAGCATCGTGGTGAGATTTGATGCAATTGACCACCAGTTCCATAGCCACTTCCAAAGAAGTCCCACCAGTGGTGTGGATGATCCATACTTCAGGGGTAGAAATAGGAGATCCCCCTGAAGTTACAGGCATGTCTGCACCAGCATCGCAGCTGCCTGGGCAGGACAGGGACAGCTGGTGGAGCTGGTCTTCAATATATGGATGAATCACCTATGTTCTGGTACCCTAGAGTCATCTAGGATGGTGTAAACTCCTGGTGGCACCAATAATGCCAACTGAAGATTGGAAGGAGCATCCCAAGGTAGTTTGAACCCTGGACATGGAGAAGCATTGGCTAGTGTCTGCTGAGGATTCCCAAAACTCTGTGGGATGGCCTGGTGGCAGAAGCCATTTCCATGTGAATTAAGACCACAACACAATGGTCAAAGACCCTGGAATGTTTACGGTGCTGCTTTTTGGATGGATAATAGGACACCTGGTGTAATTCTTCTTGAAGCCTATCCACTGGTGCTCATCAGAGCTGTTACCCAAGTGTGATCCATCAACCTTTCATCTCCAACGTGGGCCACTGCCAGGACACTGTTCATCAGCTGTAGATGCTGACATAGCCTTGGAAATCCCAGGACAGGGTCTTGGCTCAGCACAGGATACACTTGATGTGTCGACATGGACCCTTATCACCACCTCACTGCTTGTCTGAAGAGCCTGGCTGCCCTTTGGGGGGGAAATAGCCAATTGCTACATGCTTGAATTGCAGCCCTGAGACACCACATCGGGACTTGTAGCACTTCCTGCTTGCCAAAGCTAATGAACCCATGGTGAGGAGAGTTTGCAAAAGTTCTGATCTCGGATATGGCCTGTAGCAATAAGACACACTGATGTGCTTCAGCACGGGCTCCTCCAGTTCATGTTAAGCCCACCATGAAGCTAATACTGGGATGGAGACACTCCAGCACAAGGGAAGACAACCCTTTCCTTCTGGGCACTCCAGCTCTGGTTTCTTTGGGTATTTTTTGGTTTGGTTCTTCTACATTCTTCTCCTGGATGGTTTCCCCTGGGTGCTGAGATTAGTGGTACCAGCCCACCTGGGGCTATTACCCCACAGCAATATTGGGTCTGTGGCCTGCATTGGTACGTGAGGCCTCTTAGAAAGGGATAAGGCACAAACATGGAAGAAGCCAAAGGGCATCCTTTCGTTAAGGCTTGATGACTTTTGAAGGGATGTGGTGATTGGGGTGGGTTTCTGAGGGCTGGGAGAAGGCAGATGTCACATGTCTTTGAGGAAGGTGTGAAAGAGGATTCGGGAGCTATGGGCTGGTCCCCACCTCAGCCCTTGGGGAGGTGGTGGAGCACATCATCCTGCAACACATTTCTGAACATATGAAAGACAAGGAGGTCGCCAGTTATAGCCAGCAAGGATTTATGAAGGGGAAGTAGTGCTTGACCAAGCTGACAGCTTTCTGCGGTGCGACAAAGCTTGTCTTGGCTTTCATCAGACTTTGACATTGTCTCCCATGACAACCTTATAGACAAGCTGCTGAAGCACAGGATAAACAGGCAGTGAGGCGGACTGAAACCTGGAGGACCTTGACATCTTCGTTAATGACTGGGATGATGTGGCAGATGCACCCTCAGCAAGTACCAGATGATGCAGAGCTAGGAGGTGCAGACTGTAGACTACAGGGTCGTGCTGCCATCCAGAGGCACCTTGCCAGGCTGAAGAAATGGGCTAATAAGAACCTCATGAAATTCAACAAGGAGAAGAGCAAAGTCTTACCCCTGGGGAAGAACAACCCATGGGCAATGGTAGAGGTCCCTTCCCACCTCTGCCATCCCATCGCTGGGTGATTTTCTGGCCTTGTGCCCAGCTAAAGGTCCAGCAGTGTGGAGCATGGGGTGGTGGAATGGGATCATGGATGTCAACTGGGAAGTATGGAGCATATCCAGCAAGGACTGGAGCATCTGGAGAGGAATGGTGAACAGCTGCCATGGCTCTCCAGCGTCTCCACCACCACTGGGAGCCCAGGAACAGGATTTAGGAAGGGACACCTCACTGAATGAGGCCAAGCAAGGGCTGATGAGCTGCTGCCACCTTTCCATGCGTGTCTTCCAATGCATTGCATCACTGGACAGGCTGGAGGTGGGGGGATGCCAGAACACCTGGTATTACTATTCACCACCCCATGTACCAAACCCCGTCTGATGCCTATCCCTGTGTTTCCCATGCAGGTCTGCATCCTGGAGTGTGAAGGCGAAGCTGTGCCACGGGCCACTTGGGAGCTGTGTGCCGCTGCCGCTGGCCGACCCGCCCCACGGCCCCGCGACCTCCAGGACGCTGGCGATCCCTGGCATGACGCGGTGGCAGCTGTGCCGGTGAGCCCGCTGCAGGTAAGCGAGCTGCTGCGGCGACGGGAGGCCGAAGATGAAGGTGTCGAAGAGGAGCCGGGAGCCTTCCTGCAGCCACCCGAGGACATTTCCCGACGACTCGGCAGTTTCCCACGTGGGACACGTGGCTCGTGGCCGGCACCGATGGCCAGGGGGGTGCAGAAGCGGTACGGGGGCTTCATCGGGGTCCGCAAGTCGGCAAGGAAGTGGAACAACCAGAAGAGGTTTAGCGAGTTCCTGAAGCAGTACCTCGGCATGTCACCCCGCTCCAGTGAGTACGACATTGCCGGCGGCATCAGCGAGCACAACGAGATCTAATGGAGACCCGCGCTGCCCGGCTAGGTCCGCCATGGCCAAAAAAGTCAACCCTCTACCCCTCTCCTCCTCATGTCCATGGGTGCAAATTAAAAAGGGAGCCAAACAAATTAATTTGAAATGGCAAATTAGAGACCAGGGATGCTGAGGGCGGCCGTCGGCATCTGGAGGGTGTGCGGGGAAAGGCCCTTTCCTGTCAGCTTCCCCCTGCCGGGGAGGATGGGCACAAAGGTGTTGTCCTCCACACCAAGTAGATTGAAGGGTGTTTCAGCACCCCCCCTCCAAAGCATGTACAAATCCCTTAAAATGAATTCAGATTTATTGTAATTGAAAAATTAAAATAAAATTTAAAAATGAAAAATTAAAAGAACTTTCAAAAATTGAAAACTAATCTGAATTTTTACAGTGTGAATAAATAATTTTTTAAAGAAGAAAGTGAAATTGCTTTTTTAAAATGGAAAAATAAAATGGAAAAATAAAAAAATTAAAATAAATTTCAAAAAATGAAAAATTAAAACAGTCGACAAAGTTAAATTAGAAAATAAAAAAGAAAAATATTTAAAAATAAAAAATAAACTAAATTTTAGAAACTTGGAAAATTAAACTGCATCTGAAAAAATGAAAATACAAATTTTATATTTTTAAAAATTATTTAAATGGTTTAAATGAAAATAAGAAATTAAAATAAATATAAAGTAAAATAATAAATTAATATAAGTTAAAATAAAGTGGAACATCTTCCATTTAGATATTAAATGATCCTCCCCAAACACTCCAGCTCCATGCTCCCAAACTGAGCAGTGGGTTGAGCCCTTGCCCCTTGGAGCAGCATGTTCCCTCCACCCCTCTTGGGGTGCTCACAGCCCCCTGCCACTCCAGCTGCCAAGACCCATTCCCTTCCCTATCTCCCCAAATTGTAAATTTGGGAGAATTTTAGTTTTTTCCCCTTTTTTGTTTCTTTTTTCCTTTTTTCCCCTCCCCTGGGTGGCATCTCCCAAAATTAGGGGATGTACCCCTGACCCCACAGCCCCTGGGGAGCCCGTGCTCCCTCCATGAGGCTCAGCTCCTTTTTCCTTTTTTCTTTTATTATTTTTCCTTTTTTTTGTTGTTGTTTTTTTATTTTTTTTTCCCCCTTTTTTTTCCCCTTTCCTTTCTCTATTTTTTTTTATTTTTTATAGCGTTCCGGCACCGCATCCCAGCACCTTCCGCCAGGCACAGGCAAAACTAACCCTGCTCCTGTCCACCCCAGCAGCCTCCATCCTCCCTCTGACGGACCCCAAAGCGCTTCAGACTCGCATGCGGGCAGAAAAAATCACTTTGCTCTTCACTCACTAAAGCCAGATTTAAGCCGGAACCTGACGAATTTCGGCCTCCACCGGTGACGGGAGTGAGATGCCATGGGGAGGGCGGGAGAAGAGCACGGGGGAGCGGGTGGGAATTTGAGCAAAATAAGGAAAAAAGGTGAATTTTGAAAAAAAAAAAAAAAATCAGATTTTGGGTTGTTTTCTTTTTGCGTTGGCCACTGTCAAAAAGCCACCCTGGATCCAGTGAAAATCACCCCATCTCACACTCCTGGTGCCTTCCCAGCAGTAGTTGGCATTCCCTAGTTGGGGCTTACTGCTTTCCACAGGGTTTCAACTTTTCGGATGGGGGATGCCAAGGGGTCACGTCCCATTGGGCTCCACGCTCGCACATCCAACCTGATGGCTACCACAGCAGTGACCAGCTCCAAACCCTGCACCCAGAAAACACCTGTCAAAGTCTGATTATTTTCATTTTTCCCCATTTTTTTTATTTCCCCCCATTTTTAAAGGTGTTTTCCTTGCTTTTTAAAGCCTCTGGGGTTGACTTCTTTGCTCAGCACCACCAACCGTGCGCGTGCCCTCCTCATGTCTCCCCCTTGGCATGCATCATGTCCCAGTCCCCGTGCCAGGATGCGTTTTTTCCGTGTCGCTCCTAGGAGAATCATCAGAGCCAATCGGTTCTCCTGCCTAATTTGCCCCCCCCCCAAAACCAAAATAAGACAATAAAAGCATATCCTGGGAATGACTTCGCTCAGGTCTCACCCACAGCGCTGCCCTTCACTGTTTGTACGAAACAAATAGAATATAATAATCCCTATGGAAAAGAAAAAAAAAATCCTAAGATCTTGTTCTTTTTAATTGTTTCATACAAAGATTTCTCCATTAAACTTGTACATAGCAAAAGGATTAATAAATCAGTTTACTGTTTCTACGATACTATTGCGACTGGCGACCATCAATGCCTGTGGAGCAGGTCCATGCTGTGCCCCCCTCTCTGCCAGACATGGGAGATGCTGGATCATCCTGCTCCGCTGTGGAATAATTTGGTTTTAGGGGGGAAAAAAAAGGGAGATTTTGGTACATTTGTGGTATTTGCAAAGCAGGATGGTGGAATCGGCACTTGGGAAAGTGGTGGTGTCACACACATGCCCCTTAACCAAAAATGGGATGGACTGGGGAGTTATTGGGGGGAAAAAAGGGATTTTAGGGTTTTAGAGAAAGAAAAGGAATTCCTATCTGGGTCCATCCCACCCACAACCCTTTTCCATAGGGATAATGAAGGCACCTGCACCCCCAGCCCAACTGGAAATCAGGGGGGTTCTGCTCTCAGAAGCCCCCAGATTTGGGGAGAGGAGTGACATCGCCACAGCCCATAGTCCCTTCCTCTCTCCACTTTATTTCCCCTTTTCCCATTCCTCTTTCACCTCCACATGCATTAAAAAAAGACAATAAAATCAAGTTATCAAGGGGGTTTTGTGCTAAAAAGCAACTTCTCAACACCGGAAGGCCCGAGACTCTGCTGAGCCCATCCTGCACATAACCCACATGGGTCTAAGCCCGTATCAGGTTCAAAATTGCTGGATTTAGGGTATTTAGGGGAAAAAAGCACAGCAAAAGAAGGATGCGCAGCACCTGCTGCCTCGGAGAACGGGCAGACACTGCTATCTAGTGGCGCCAGGAAGGCCTGTGCCAAGACGATTCTCAGGCTGAGGCTGAGCAGCCGCAGAAAGTGCTGCTACTGCTGCACTGGGGGACACGGGAGCACCCACTGACACTGGGACTGCAAGGACAAGGCAGAGCCAACGAGGCATCAGGCAACTTTTCTTTTTATTTCTTATAAAATATATTTCATATTGCTGCTGTAAAAATTACATTTCACATTTTTATTTAACTTTTTTTTTTTCCCCTCTCTTTTGTGGGTTTTTTTGTTTTGTTTTGTTTTTTTACAATAAAAATAATACTCGGAAGACAGCTAAAAAAGCTTCAACATGACAGAAAATTCACTCGACCCAGCACTGTCCCTGCTTGGCCAGTGGCACGGCCACAAGGCCAAGTGTCCCCTGTGACAGGACCCTGCAGCCCCAACTGACGGCAGCAGTGACAAGGTGGTGTCACCCTGCACTGCATACACTCGCTTTGCCAATCAGGGTCCAGCTCAACCCCTCCAGCCGTGTATCCCAGCAGACAAGGGAGAGCAGCCTCTAATTAGTGCCCAATTAAGAGGTTCTTACGTACATACATATTCGCACTCTGGGAGACAGCCACAGGGATGAGGGAAAACTCTCCACACGGGATTTAGGTGCTGCGGTTGGGGCTGAAGAGGAGCTCTCTTGAGAACAGCGAGACTCAAGTGTTAGGAAGGAAAGTCCAACGGTTGGGAGGTGGCTGGAAGCAAGTTAAAAAATAAAAGGGAAGGGAAATAATAAGGGGGGAAAATATTTATAAAAATATATATCCAATGCCAACCATCCTGGTGGAAGCCTGCTGTCACTTCTGCAAAAATACGAGAAGGTTTTCCTGTTTTAAAGTGTAGAAATTCCAAAATACTCCCAAACCAGAAGGGAAAAAAATGAATACCAACCCACCCTGCATCAGTTTCTCCATTAAAAATAAAAACCCAACAGGAAAGCGCTGTGAACACTAGGGACAACCCTGCTCAGCTCTGTCCACACCGCAGCAGCCCTTGGAAAAGCAGCTGTACCTGCACCCCTGATAAAATGGCACCACGCTCCAATGCTCTGATGCCAGGTCAGCACCGCTGCTGGGCTGGAAGTGCTATGCAGTGGGAGGAGGCGGTGCTGCACCCCGATGGCTTGGTTTGACAGTTCCCAGAGTAACTGAGCTGGAACCAGTGAGACCTGAGCCATGCTTGGCCAATGTAGCCAGGGACCCGGCTCTGCCCCATCTCATGTGGGGCGGAAAGGGCATAAAGAGCAAGGAACAGAATCTCTGGCCCTGCCTACTCTCTCTGTGTTGCGGAGGCAAAGGTGGGCTGAGGAATGCACAAATCCACCCTTTTTTTTTTTTCTTCTGCTGCTTCAAGCCCGATTTTTAAAAATATCTGAAATATGGTAACACAGCAAGGTGCTGTGTGGACTTCCCAAAGCACCAGCTTGCTTCTTGAGAGCCACCGGCATCACCAAAACCCTGCATCACGACATCCCAGTGCCCTTCCTGAAAGGCTCGGCACCCATGCCGACGGAAGTGGGAATTGCTTTTTCTGACGCTTCACTCCTAATACTGCAGTCCAGCAAGGATGGGAGCCTGAACAAGCGGAGCCAAAACCACTTCTCTTCCTGGGATTTGAGCCAGAGTGTCCAGACACACCCAGGGATGGAACCCCGCAGGGTCACTCCCTGCCTGGGGAGTTTCCCTCTGGCTTTCCAGTGGCCATATTTTGCTTTGGCCAGCTGGATACCAGAGAGATCAGGCTGCAGGATGAGACACTGTTTACATGTACAGAAGTAGAAACGAACAACAAAAAATACCCAAACACATCGCCAAGCACCAGGAACACATATAAATGGATCTCAGCCCACTTCGCCTGCCCATCTGATCCCTTCAGCAGCAGGGCTCATGGTGATCTGGGAACAATACCAGACTCTCCCAGCCACCTGATTTCACTTCTATAAGTTGGGTTGTGGCACTGTCCTTCAAACCAACCCAAGCTCAAGCTGAGTGCAGGGACCACTCTCGCCTCGATGGCTGCAGGTTAGAGACTGTGATTATCAAAAACGCAGCAAAAAAGTAATACAAATCCAAACAGCTGCCGGCTCCAGCAAGGGGAGAAAACCAGTGACCGGGAATCTGGCTCCAGGGCCACATGCATCCCAGTCTGACACCACGCATGACGCCCTGCCAGTGCTGCTGGTGGAGCAGAGACAGCAGCAACAGTGACAAGAAAGCACCAGCAATTTCGATCAGGTAAATACAGATTTTAAAGGATGGAAGTCAGAAAACTGACTCCCCCCAGGCTCGATGGGATTTAAAAGCCAATATTGAAGTGTTTGGCCTTCCCAGTCCTCCCAGCTGCCTTTACTGGTGGAATCATTAATTTACAAAAGAGTAAAATTGCTCAACCTCGTTTTGAAACACATGGCCAGTACCACAACCTGGATTGTCACGGAGCTAAGCCGACTTACAAAGCCTAAAACGTAGGTTTTGCCTTAAAAAGTCTCAGAGTTTTCCTGGTTGAAGTGTTTTGGGTGCTTCCCTCCTCCCAAGAGATCTCCAAAAATGACAGTCAGTGAAACTGACTGGAGGTATGTGTAGGCTCAAACCACAGGTGTGATGTGACCCAAGCAAAGACCACATGCACGCAGGGAAAGAACCCTCCAACCCCTGTCCCGAGAACAGCTCCCGCCTGGCTTGCAGCAATCCAATGGCATTTTCTTTCTTAAAGCTAGAATCATTACAGACCCCTTCCCTTAAAGGGTACAAGAAATTTGCACTTCTATAGGTAGTAAAAGAACACAGAAAGCTGCCTCGATGCCTCACCCCAGCCATGCTGCGGCAGTTTGGGAAATTTTAGGGCTGATCTGGGAAATGCAGGAAGGTCTTTGGTCCCCAAATCACCTACAATCTCCCGTGAACCCTGAGGAACCAGCTTCCTTCCCTCCCAGCCCCAGCTTTTACTGTACAAAGGGAGATACTCTCCAGGTTTAAAAAAAAAGAAAAAAGTTGGAAAATGTTTTTTAAAAACAGAGCAAACCAGCAGATGTACAATATACACGAGGAGGAATTTACAGGCAGCTCTGGAGGTGTCTTCTGGGGTTGCAAGAGATACCTCCAAGGTCCCTGGTTGCAGCAGTGAGGGACTTCGGTGCTCCTGGATAGGAGCTGGGGAGGGACACGGCACCGTGGTGCTGTGCTCAGTCCAGGAAGCGCTGGCAGGCTTTTTTCCACCGGCAGGCCGTGCACCACTGGTCCCGGTGCTCGATGCCATAAACCTTACGGCACTTTTTGGCTTCACCACGGACTTTCCTGCAAAGGAGGGAAAACAAGAAATAACATTTATCAACTTGTTGCAGATACTTTCATGTATTGAAGGGGTAAGACTCTGGAACAGCAGCTGGGCATCGCTCCAGTACACCTCAGCAGAGCTGCAGGAGAGGACCCCTTTGCTGATGGGCTCCACCTCTGCTCCCCTCTGGCCAGAGGGACCCTCACCTGGTGCCGACAGACACCCTGGGCGGCGAGGCGACAATCAGGTGGGACTTGAGCATCGGTGTTGGTGGCTGGGGTTCACTGAAGCTGAGTGACCGGCTCCGCACCTGCAGGAAATTGGGTGTTAGAGGGCATGCAGAATGATGCAGCGCCCTTGCTGTGCAGTCCGAGTGCTGCAACAGGACAATGGGAGGTGTGTCCCTAGTCCCTGAATCTGCATGCTTTAAGTGGGAAGCGATAAAGCAGAGACAAGGTCCCTCTTCATCTCCTAGCCCAACGTTGCCCCCCCCAAAGGATGAAGGGGAAACACATGCAGGACTCACCGGTGACAGGGATGGGAGGGTTGAGGTGGCAGTGGCCCAGCTGATGCTGGTGAAGATGTGAGGGGACACTGGAATTTGGATCGAGGGCAATGCCTGTGAGGGAAAAGAGGGATCAGTATTTGCCTCAGGGCTCCCCCTTCCTGTGTGTGGCCCACAGGCATCCATCTCCCTGCAAAGACCAGCCTAGAGCACCCACAAACTGCAAGCCCTGGGGCGGGATGGAAATCCCCATGCAAGCCCTCCTCCAGTGCTAGATCCTGCTAACACAGGGGATGTCACATCCTTTCCCTGGGACAGGAATGGATACACCAGCAGCTTATGGATCTATATACCCTGTCCCTGCACTAGCTGGCAACTCCAGAAGAGCGTTCTGCTCTCAAGAAGCCCCTGCAATGAGGACCACTGTCTCAGGGTGCCCACAAGGCCACCACTCCAGGTGCTCAGATTTCCTATGCCTCCAAGCTTGTGCCCTCTGCAACAAGTGTGCAGCAGAGACGTTCAGGATCCAGCACGGCCACATTCCAGCCCCAGTTATCTGCCGGCAGAAGGGCGTGTTGCATACCAGCACGGGGTAACTGCAGGGGAGCAGAGGCCAGCAGCTTCACTCTGGCCTGGGAGCTGTGGCAGGAGCGTATAAACCACTCAACCAGGCGTTAATGAAGCTCTCTGCTCAAGGGCTGAAGGGCAGGCAGGCTCCAGATGCTGTTACACTGGCACCAAAGCCCCTCCAATGTGGAAGTGGCAATGTGGGAGTGGCAATGAAACATCCCTGCTGCAGCGGGGACTTGCAGCAAAACCAGGATCATGACCTGCCCTTTGCCAAGATTTCAGGAGATGACCCATCCCCAGGAGATGCCACCAGCTCACCTGGTAGGCGTGATCCGCCTGGATGTGCCAGAAGGAGCTAGGGGCAGACTGGCTTAGGGCACTGCTGGCCAGGGCGGGCTCCAGCACTGGCTGCTCCACCAGCAGCGCCTCTGGCTTTGCCAGGGCTTGCTGGATGATGATGGGGGCAGATGTGGATATGGGGCTGGTGGTGGCAGCCACCTCTGGTGCTGGCTCTTCCTTCACCTGCACTTCAGTGTAGTAGAAATCCTCCTCTTGCTTCCGCTGGTCAGAGTCTGCACTATCCCTGCCAGGAGGAAAGGGGAGCATCAGTGAAAAGGCAGCCCTCGTTCCATCAAGGTGAGTGGCCCCTGACTTCCTGGAGGGAGAGTGATCTTGCCTTCCCAGCCAGAGCAGCTCCACCCTCAGACTCCAGAATAACAGACAGCTGTGATCAGCAACAGCCAGTGCCTTTGCAGCTCACACTTCCAAGGAAGATCAATACCTTTTTCTGGTCCTTGAAAAAAAATGGCATATTGACCAGGCACCACTGAAAATCCCCTGCTCATTTCTAATCGAGCTCACTTAGCACAGCTGCAGATGAAGCCCTGCAGCTGACCCAGCAGGAAACAGCCCTGAAGTCCTTTTGATTATTTTCCCAGCATGTTTGTCCAGCCGGCACTGGATGGCAGTCCAGTGCAGCCCTTCTATCCTGGCCTTTCCCAGACTGTTCATGTTTGCAAGGCAAGAGAGAAAAAACCCCACACTGGAGAATATGGACAAAAGCATGAGAAAACTGAGGCTGCGGTGCAAAGTGTCATAGGCCCAAAGTAGGGGACCACAGCAAAATGATCCCCACATCCTCACCATCTGTTATTTTGGGGGATTTCAGAGATCAGGACAAAGCAAAGCAAAATGCCAAAGAGGCAGCCATGACCATGCTGGTACATGGGTGCCTATGCCAGACACAATAGCCACAGGAGGCACAGCTTTCTGGCTGGCATCCCCTGCAAAACCCAGTGGTGCTGGTGCCTGTCTGCATCTGCCCAGGGTTCACAAGTGACCTGAACTCTGCCAGTAAAAAAATGCACATCCAAGCTGGGCAGTCCCAAAGCCCAGATGGGGCTCCCACACCTCCCCGAGAGCTCTGGGCTACCTAAAGGTGGGGACACATACAACAGTGGTTCTTGTAACATGGATGAGAACTGCCAAACTCAGTGCACAGAGGCCACTATCTCTGGCCCTCAGGATATTTGCTGCAGGAATTACAAATTACACAGCCGCAGGACCTGTGGTCAGGGAGGGATTAAGAAGATCTTCACCCTACCCGAGATGCTGGGTCTTGACATGCCGCTTGATGCCGACGATGGAGCGCAGGACCTTGCCACAGCTTGGCCAGAGGCACTTGTACATCACCTTCACCGAGTTCTGGTGGAGAGATAGCCCATGTCACTCCCTGCCCAGTAGCAGCATCCTCTCTATACGGGATGCCGGCTCAGCTAGAGCCGCCCCACTTGTGCTGGGACCCCCTGCCACAGCAGCAATACCTTTCTCTTGCGTGGAGCGGGTTCATCAAGGAGAAAGGGGTCAGAATCGGTCTCAAAGCCATCATCCACCTGGGGAGAGCTCAGGCCCTCACTGGAGTACTTGGGGCTGCCAGCGGGGTGGGGGGGTGAAGGCGTAGAGATGTCGCTGCCCGCACTCCAGTGCCCGCTGGTGGTGCTGCTGCCGCTGTCTGAGACATCACCACTCTCCTTCCATAGATCACACACTGCCCGTGAGGCTGCAGGGAGGGTACACATGTGCCACCATCAGCTCAGGGCCAACCAACAGCCCCCCAGGGCAGAGACCAGTCCTGAGCCTGGATCACTCACAGCAGCAGCTTGCCTAAAATGATTTATTTTGTTAAAAGCTGGCAAGGTGAAGCCTTTGCACTTTTGCTCAGTGCCAGCTCCCAGTTATTAGCCGTTTATCCCTTGCTTCCCCTCCCCATGCTCCTTGGCATCAGTGCAATTCCACGGGCACAGCCAGCACACAGCAAGCAGCCAGCACCAGGGCACGCACATTTCCCACGGCTCCAAGAAGCTATTTTTATCCTGCCGGCTGCATTTGACCCCTCGGGAATGAAACTGCGGCTAAAAAAAGGAGCACCCAAGCGGTGCTCCCCGGCATGGGACTCCTGTGCGGGGCTCCCAGGTCCCTTGGGACGGCTGCGGAGAGCAGGGTTACCCACACCATGCTGCCAGAGGCATCACAGCTCACTCGGCCCCAACTGGTGCTGACACCTGTGGGCTCTGCCATGACCCTCGTGCTGCTCCCCAGCCACCTCCAGCCCAGAACCATCACAGTGCTGGCAACTCTTCAAAAACAGGAATAAAGAATGAATGCAGCCAGCAAGAGTCCCAGCACTGAGATCCAAATGGCTCAGCATGTTTCTCCACATCTCCTTTTCTTTCAGATATTTTTTCTTTTATATATACGTATATTTTTAAAAGCATACTCACGGGGGATGCCGCTCTCGCCAGCGGGAGGGCTCTGCACCACGGGGCTGCAGGAGAGGCTTGTCAGCACCATGGCTGCCACCATCTCATCCATTTCCACAGCAGCATCAGCTTTCCTGCACCAAAAGGGGAGAGATGTCTCACATGCCAAGGAAAATGCAGAGAAACAGCCCAGGTATGACCCACCGGGCACCCGAAGGGCACCAAACTGCAGCTGCAGCACAGGTTCACTCCCACCGCCCCCCTCCATAGACTGACTCATTTTGAAGTCACTGGGAAGGATGTTTTCTTCCCATTTGGAGGAAAAAAAAAAATTAAAATCCCCTTAATCCTAAATTTAACCATGCTCTGGATAATCCCATGCTGGGAAGGCAGATATATCCTCAGCATCACCACTCGCTCTGTTGGCATAAAACCAAGTGTGAGCACTGCCAGAGCTGCCCAGAGCCCCTCTCCCACCTGAGCGAAATCCCACCAGCCAAAGGCACGAACCTCTTGGGCACATCGATGTTGCTGGACACAGATCTCTGCAGTGCATCAGCAGGGGTGGGACCACCAGCGGCAGGCAGGGTAGGGGGCTGGAGCATGGCCGGCCGCACGTCCTGTACCCTCCAGCATGCCTGCAAGCCCTGCTCTGGCAGCAGCACCTTCATCTTGTCACTCAGCGGGTTGTGCTGCTCCACAAGGCCAGCACACTCCTGCCCGTTGTAGGTGATGAGGACCTGAAAATGACATGAGAGGCAGTCTGTTGGTGCCACCCGTTGCCCTGCTGCTGCTGGCGGATGTCCTGCCACAGCACAAGCAAGCCTTTGCCTGCTGCAGAATTCCCCCTCTTCCTCCTTCTCCAGTATAAGGGGCCATGGAGGGCTTCAGGATGAAGCCAGAGCCTGTCATGAAGAACTTGGACTCTCACAGGAAACCAGAGGCCTGGCCAGGGTTCATCGCAACCCTACCACCAAGAGAGGTGCTCTTCCCAGACACAACCTCCCTGACTGGCTATCCCAAGTTGAGGGATTTCCTGAGCCAGTATCAACCACCTCTGAGTGCTGTGACTCTGGGTGGACTTTTCTCCAATGAGTTTGTCTGCTTTGGCTTTGTTCTCACGCCATCCTACTGCAAGGAGTCCCACAATTATTACACACTCTGGCAACGTACGTAGATTAACAGGCATAGGGGGGCAGGGGAACAGAGGTTTCCTGGCTGAAGTGATCCTGAATGCATGCCTTGGCTCCTCCAGTCTCAACTCCTCAGGCAGAAGGACATGTGCAAACTTCACCTCATGCCCTTCTTCAGAGTCCCAAACTCCTCCTGTTGGGCAGTTTTCCACCACTACCACCCATGAACCTATTTCTGTTAGTGGAAATGTATCTGGTTGAAAGACACTACATGTGTCTCTGGCTATTTATAGGAATATCTCTTTATGGAAGTGCCATGGGTGTTGTACCAAGCATCGAACACGGGATGCACACACACCCCCATACCCTGACTGGGGAGCAGCACGTGAAGACTATCTCAGGTGGGATCTCCAGGATGAGCACCATGGTGGAAAAAGCTACCTGTGGTGAGACCAAGGTTACGATGATCAGTGCAGGGATCAAGACACAGAAGACCCTGACCTTGCTTTCTGAAAACGAGCAAAACTTCTCCACGAACGACACACAGCACAAGCAGCCAACATCCCTTTCAGCTTTACAACCACAGGCACAGGTACCCCATTACTATTTTTATGCTGTTCACAGCAGCAAAGCAAGCAAACAAAATCCTCCACAGTGGAGCACATAGGAGAGAACAACCCTCACTGTCCTGTGGTTAATGAACATGTGGCAGGAGGAGCCAGAAAACCAAACAGGGACCTTATTTACAATCCACTGCATGAGCTCTGCCCAGAAAATGTTTTACAGTTTTGCAGGTAGCAGCCAAGAAACAGGTTCTATGTCAGCAGCTCACAGCTATCCTTGAAAACTGTTGCTTGGCCAGTGATTAGCAGGAACTGCTCTGGTGGGATCAAAAATGAGTGCTGCTTCCTGTCCTAGGCAGCATCCTGGCCAAGGCACGGCCCTCAGGAGCCCATGGCACACCCAGTGTTAGGACCTAGCACGACTACATGTTCTTTCTGGGTAAGCCATTGCACCTGAGTCTTACCTAACCTTCTTCACCACATGTTCCATACCATCAGCCCTCAACCCTGTAGCAGAAGGGGGCTCCTTGCCTGTTCCCTTCAGATGTAAACTTGGGTTATGGGGAGATAGGACACATTCATAGAAGATAAATCCCCTGGGAGTCACTGAATGTACAAAAACCATCTCCCTTTGCCTCAGACATTTGGAGAATGCTGGAGGGAACATCAGGTCTTCTCACCCTCTTCTCTGGAGACCCACTTTTGCCTAGGATTGGAGACATCTCTGGGAAGAGATGGGTTTGGCCCATACCAGCTCAAGCAGAGATCCACCAGGCATCCCCAGGGACATGAGCACCAACACCTATTAATGACTCTCAGTAATGGCAGATCCCCAATGCACTCTGCATCTGGAGAGCCCCAGGAATTCTCTCACCCACCAGAGCACATCCCACCAGCCAAGGACACTGACAGCCTCTGTACGTACTTGCTGTCCGGCACAGAGCTGCTGGCAGCTGGGGCTGGGAAGCCTGGGTGTTTGGCTGCTCTCCTCCGCTAACAGTGTACAGGATCCATCCTCTTGAGGTACTGCATAGGCAGATGCCCGGCCAAGGTCGGTCTGCAAGCCAGGGATCTGGGTGGCCACCAGCACCCCATCGGCCAAGGCACCAGGGGTGGAGACACGGGTGCCTAGGAGGGAGCGCTTCCCCAGACGCCTGGACAGCACACTCGCCATGTTGGACACCCTGCTGAAGAGAAAGACATAGGGATGTTACCTGTAGTGCAGCACCATGAAGTTCAACCATTATCTTCCCACAACTACCACCACCATCCCAGGAGCCAAGAAAGCAGCTCTCTGCTGCTCCAACATTTCCATGTGCCAAGACCCCTTGGGGACACAGGGACAGCAGCATGCCTGAACATCCCACCCCACACCCTCAGCTCTTGTCTTTATGGTCATTCCTAGATAACTCTGGAGAACAAAAAAAAAGGGATGAACCAGCTCCAAGGAAACCCCATGGACACAGTCAGGGCAGCCTCTTGAGCCAACACTGGCATGCGCTCCAGAGGCCATTGCAGCTATTCCCTTCCACCATGCTAAAACCCACTGTCGGTGCTCTTCAACCTTGACCTCTAGACGTGAGCCTGTGCCCAGCGCAGTCCTGCATCTCCCCTGCCCCAGAAGGGGACAAAAGCCCTCCGGCAGCAAAAGGCAGTGCCCCTTCTCAGCTGGCATCCCCATTTCCCCCTTTTCTGGAGCTCTTGTGCTTTTGCAAAAGGTTTCTCCACACTTGCAGCCCAGGATCAATCTGGCAACAAAACAGGAGCATCCTCCTGCCCTGCTTTGTTAGAAAAGGAACAATTTGGAGCATTTTCATCCTAAACTGTCTCTCTGTAATTCTGTAAACTACTTTTCCTCCCCTTTTTCCCCTGACATACATTTTCCTCCTCTTAGTGTACCTCTGCAGCAACCCTACAGAGTCTGGCTTATTTCTTTGTGTCTGTAGATTTTACTGCTGTTTTAGAAGAAAAAAGGGTTTACAGGTTTCCCTAAAAGTAAGGGACACTCAGACCTAGGGACAAATGTTTCATCCCGCTCTGACAAATCCAATGGCCCCAGCAGCATGCACTGTCCTCCTCTGTCCCATCCTCCTCCCAATGTCTCCTCCATTGCAACACCAAGGAGCACAGGAAGCGAGGATGCACACAGCAGTGAGGCCAAAGGGGATGGTGCCTGGGGATTGGGAGGAGGGAGAGGAGGCAAGATGCAGCCCTGCATCTTGGGGTGAACCATAAAAGCCACATGCTTTTGTACCACAACAAACCCACCACTTCTGTCACCCTCCCTGGGTTTGTGAATGAGCATCACCCAACCGGCCAGGGGCTGAGGGTGTCTGGAGAGTAACCTGGGACACTGGGAGTCCAAGTCTGAGGAGCTGCTACTTGTGCAAGAGGGAGGATTAACCCTAAGCTGCCAGGCACTTGCGCCCAGACCCTCTCCTCCTTGCACAGGGTCACTGTCACGAAGCAACAGCATTTTAACCGCAGATGCCACATTATTTTGTGTTTACACAGTGGGGTTTTCTGGTTTACGCAGCACTGTCTTGCATGCTAACTCGGATGAGAAAGGTTTCCTGACACGGGAAGGAGAACTCATTGCTCCTCTTCATCTCCAGCCATCCCAGGAAGGGTTACTTACTCCAAACCATGCCCCACTTCAAAGGACACTCAGGATTTTACAAGCAGTTGTATGAATAACTGTATGTTATTCAGCTCAGCTCTCTTTGTCCTCCCCCAAAATCCCACTGTCCCCAAGTTGAAAATTAACAGCTATTTAGGAGCCAAAAGAACAGAGCAGGGAAAGAGGGATAGGGTGTGAAAAGGATGGGAGGTGTGCTGTGGAGAGCACCTCATGCCAGGGCTGCCAGCCCACAGCACGGAGGGACTTCACCGCTGCCATATTCCTACCAGAACAAGATCTGAGGCCGCAGCAGCCAGCCAAGCAGGGCTGCTCCCTGGGCTTCCCTCTCATCTCGCCCTGCCTGAGAATATGCCAGATTTTGCAGCACATGGGCATCACTGGGGGATGCTCCTGGGACCACTCTGTCTGATAAGGTCTTTTTTTTTCCCCCACAGTACATGTCTTGTGATGAACACGGGTGACCTGGCCAAGCAGCTCTGTTCTCAGATCTACATGCCCATACAAGACTTTCCAATCCAAAAGGAGACCAAAAGGGCCGACAGGGTGACACAGTCAGTTTGTCTCAAATCCCAGAGTGAAACTGCGGTAAAGCCCCTCCGTGGTCATTAACCACCAGCATACATTTTCTCCCACATCACCTAAAACCCTCGCTCTCAGGTATCCTAGGCACTGGGAACTGCCACTCTGAGAGCTCAGGGCATCAATGCAGCAATGTCGGTGCCACCACTGCATGGAAGACGGTACCGAATCTCTGCTGCCTCCCCAACAGTCAGTGCACGCCAGTCTGAATGCAGCACTTGGCCAATGGCCAGATATAGGGGGGGCAACGCCAAAGGTGGGAAGCTGCTTCTCATTTCCTTCGTGGTTTTATTTTGCCTTCCCTTTCCTTCCTCCCCCAGTCCAAGGGGGGGAGTGGGAAGGAGGAGAGAGGCACGCTTGCAACGAGAGGGGAAGAAAACCCTCCCAAAAGCCACATCTGCTTTCAGCAGACCTTTGAATGCCGGACCCCATTTCGACGCACAGCCTGTAACTGAGAGTGACACGCTAACGAAAAAATCCTTCTCCCTCCCTACCCATGCCCCAAAACACAAAGCAAGAAGAGCGAGAACTGGGAGGGCATCAGCGGTGCAGGCGGAGACAGGAGGCCACGCTGCTGTGGCCGCCGCAAGCCCTCCCAGCTGTTAGCAATCACGCGCCACAGGGGTCAGAGCCGGCACAGATCCCAGATTATTTCTTGCTTCAATGCCGGGAGTATATTTTGGACGGCATTTTTCCAGCTCTTGCCGGGGGAAAACGTCAGCCCTTGTGCCTACTGGTGTTGCTGCCACCAGCACAGCAAAGCCTTGGTGGAGGTTTTGGGAAAGTGGGTGCCTCGTTTGGCAAATGAGGAATGTTTCATTTAGCAGGAAGGTCAGGGGGCCATGGCAAAGTGGGGAGGGTGCCCTGGCGTTCACCCCGCTTGCTGTGTGTCCAGAGTTTGCTGGGAGAAATGCGACTCGTGCACCCACAGTGCTGCACAAACCATGACCACCAGCACAAATCCCCTCTCCAAAGAATGTGCAGTTACAGCACACCCCATTTTTTTTTAGGTATAAGTGCTAGTAGGTTCCCTCAAACACAGCCTAACTTCTGCCGATCAGCAACCTGTACCACAAAGTCCACCCTGTAAGAGATCCCAAAAGCTGCAATAACCAATAATAAACCCCAGGTTTTCATCTTCTCTTGCAGCCTGTGGTTTCCAAAAAGCCACTTATCATCCCAAAACATCCCAAAGCCCTTTACAAACCTCACTCCGGCCCCACGCCTGTTGGCACTTGTGACAAGATATCCACATGGAGCGGTCTGTAAAGCTTGGGCCTTTATTAAAAATAAAAGTAACAAGATCTACTGACCCCGAGACAGAGCCAAACCCACCCAAGACCTAACCCTCACAGACACTAATACAAAACAGGCGCTTTCCCAGAGCTTCCTCCTAAATCCGCCTCACTGCTCACGGCTTGGGTTACGCCCGCGGACGTGTCACCGCGGGCTGCACCGTACCCCCTCCGGCAGCACCAGGAAGGCTGCCCGACCCTAACTCACGCCGGGGGATTCCAGAGGAAAACGCTTTCGGAGAACGCCCTCCTGCCTAAAAATGGTTTTTATGGTGCAGGCAGGAATGCCGGTGTAGGCAGAGCGACTTCCCCAGGCACTGGCGGGACGGTGTGTGCCGGCAGCGAGGGCAGCCAGGAAGGAAAGGGCGGGAGTTTGCAGCTTTTTGGGAGCTGTGCCGGCGGAGTGTGACTTGAAACCATCGCATGGGGACCGCGACGAGCGTGCAGGAGAAGACAGGGCATGCATGGCATGTGTGCGTGCCTGCGTGTACAGGGCCCGCGGCCGTGCGGGCTGGTAGGGCACGTGGGGAAGATGGCAAGGCCAGAGGCAGGGGAGGAGGAGGCGTGTGCCCGGGCCTGCCGCTGAGGGCGGCACCTGGCAGGGCACGTGTGCGCGGAGCGGGCTGCGGCGGGCGGGGGGCACGCACGGGGAAGAGCGGGGGGGGGCACACCGGGCAGGCCGGGGGGCGGGGCATGCACCGGGCCGGTGAGGGGGGAGGGGTACAAACACCGCGCATGGGGGGCACGCACCGGGCCGGCCCCCCGGACAGGGGGAGGCATGCACGGGACAAGGCTCGGAGGCGCGGCCGCACCGGCGGATAGCAGATACCCGGCGCGGAGAGGGGGTGGCAAAGCCGGCTGCCCCCCTCGAAGGGGCACTGGGGGAGTGGGCCCGGCGCGGCTCGGCGCTTACCTCCGGCGCGGCTCCCGCCCTCCTCCCCCGCCGCAGCTTGTTTTGAAATCCGTGTCCCCGCCGCAGCTGGCTCACGTACGCGGCGGCCCCGGCCTGGAGCCCCGCCGGGCGGGGCGGGGAGGAGCCGGGGCCGGGGGAGGTGCGGCCGGGCCCCGGCCAGGCGGGAACCGCGGCTCCCGCGCGCGGGGTTTTTTTATTATTATTATTTGGCCTTTTTTCGCCTTTTTTTTTTCCCGGCAATATCGGGCGGGGTACAAGGAGGGGGAGGGAAGGAAGGTGTCCGGCCGTGCACAGGATACCCGGTACCACCACTCCGCTACTCACAGCGTCCGGAAAGCCCCGCTCCGCGCCTCGCCGCCGGCCGGGTTAAAGCTCCCGGGGCCGGGCTGTTGTAAACAACCTCCCCACATGCTCAGCCCCTTCCTGCGCATTGGCTCCGCGGCTCCCTTTAAATGCACGCCCCCGCCGCCCAGCCCCAGCCTGGCCCGAGAGATGCCGGCGCTACCCGCCAGTCGCAGGGGAAAGGCGGGCGACGGTGGGCGCATCCCCTGTCCCCTCCCGGCTTCTCTCCGGGCCGGCTCTCGGCTTGGTAGGTGGAGGCCCCACTGCCCCCCGGACTTCGCCGTTTACAGCAGCTCTGCGGCCGGGGCCTCGCGGTTTGCATTTAACGGGACCTACCGCTAATGTCCCTTTACTTAGGAAGGGACATTACCATGACCCCGACTCCAGTCCCCGGCACTGCGTGACCGCAGACAAACCTCGAAGGTTTTTCTTCTGCCGGACAGCTTCACTGATCACACCAAGTCTGTTCAGCAGTAAGGGAGAATTAATACTGTCAGTGCTCCTTTTGGGGGTTGTTTTGGGTGCTGAATGCTCCTCCGCCCCTCTAAAGCCTCTACTTCTGCATTCCCCATGACAAAAATTCTCACTTTTGCTGCTTGTTCATTTATATCGTATTATAAAATTAATGTACATAGGCAGCGGCTAACACACTTTTGGGCTTTACTTGGGAGCCCCCCCGCCAAATACCAATTCATACCTCCTGGGATAAAAAGCACTTCCCTGTGTCGAAGGGCTGCTCACAACCAGCCTGTTCACCTTTAAAACCTCAGTACAGGCAAGGCGATTTGTTTTAGTGCGTGTCAGCCAGCAGAGACAAATGCTGGGCCTATTGCCAGCTTCAAAAAGAAGTGTATTTTTACCACCAACTAATATTCAGAACGCAGCTGGGTTTTTACTACGGTTGTCCAACAAGGTAAATTGTTGGGACAGGATGGGGTTATCATCCACTCGTTTCAAAACTGAAATCTGTCTTGTCTGTATAAGGTCTCTAGTATTTCTAGCATTATTTTGTCCAGGATAAATAAGGCACCTTCTCCAAAGCAGCCAAACAGGAGCCAAGATAATCTATTTCCAGCAATGCTGCTATAAATTTCCTCCCAAGCTCCTCAGACTTGGATTTCTAAGCTACCTCGATACCTGTTAAAATGAAATATGAGGTATTACCTATGCAGATGAGGGCAGGTGCCTACAAAATCCCTTGCCTTTATGCACCTTAGAAGGCAGCTTGCTCCAGAGACATGCTGCTGCAACAAGCGAGTGAAGGCGTTTTAAAGCAGCTGGGACTAGGGGCCAGGAGGGTACCACGCACCCTACCAGCCACAGCACAGGCCTCATTGGGCAGCTCTGCCCCATGCCCAGGCTTGGGGGCCAAGAGGTGCAGCTGAGGGAGAGGAACAGGACTGGCAATGAGCAGGACCCCTGTGACCACTGTGCACTGGCCGCTCTGGGGAAAGGAGCCAGTGGGTGGTGGTGGGGCACCTCAGCCCTGTTCCTCAGAGGGCAGTGTTATCAGCCAGCCATCTTCTGCTGGCCTCACAAGCAGCCACAGCTGCCCCTCATCTCCCTCCTGAGTGGCCCACTTACTGCATGGCCATCCCTCCTGCCGTGGTGGCCCCTTACACCCCAATGCCATTGTGCCTCACCCCTACCCTTCATCTCCTGTCATGGCCACAACCCCTCATCTCCCCTTGTGATCTCCACTCACAGCCACCCCTCATCTCACAGAATCAACACAGGCTGGCAAAGACCTTTAAAATCATCAAGTCCAACCCTTACCCTAGAACTGCCAAGTCTGCCATAAACCATGTCAATAAGGGCAAACTGATCTCCCCTCGTGGGAGATCATCCCCTCATGATCTCTCACCGTCACCCCTCATCTTTCCCCCATAGTGGCCCACACTTCATAGCTGCTACCTCAACCCCTCATGGCTACCCTTCACCTCCCCTCAGGGTCTTCACTCACGACTGCCCCTACCCATCATCTCCCCTTAAGGTGTCCCCTTCCGGCCAGGTCTCATTTCCCCTTAACATCTTCCCTCACTGCCACCCCTCATGGCTGCCCCTCCCCTCACGACTACCCCTTACCACTCAGGGCCACCCCTCCTCTCCCCTCACGACTGCCCCTAACACACCATGCCCACCCCTCCTCTCCCCTCACACCCCATAGCAGCTCCTCCTTTCCCCTCACACCCTATGGCAGCCCCTCCTCTCACGACCGCCCCTCACACCCCATGGCCGCCCTTCCTCTCCCCTCACGACTGCCCCTAACACACTATGGCGGCCCCTCCTCTCCCCTCACGACTGCCCCTTACACCCCACTGCCGCCCTTCCTCTCCCCTCGCACCCCACAGCCGCCGCTCACACCCCATACCCCCCCCCCTCCTCCAACTGACGTCCCTGACGCGCCCCCGGCGCTGGCGGGAACGAGGAGTGCCCTTCCCGCCCCCCCGCCCGCTCTGACTACGTGCAGCTCCCCACGAGGCGGCCGCGCGCGCCCCCCGGCCAGGGAACAACCCGCCCGGCACGTTCGCGCCCCCGTTCGCGGAGGGGGGACGCGGAGCCAATCGGCGGGCGGCAGGCGAGCCGGAAGGGACCAATTAGGGGAGGAGGCGCCGCTCTGCGGCCAATACGCGACAGGTCGCGGGGAAAGGCCCCGCCCCCTTAGCGGCGCTGCGGCCGAGTGCGGCGCCAGCTCGGAGTGGTTGGGGCGGTTCGGGCATCGCCTCCAGTCTCCCGGGGCCCGCGGGGTGGTGCCCGGAGCTGGCAGCCGGCGGGGCCGCGGCTCGGCGCAGGGGACCCTTCCCTCCGCCGGTCACCCAGGCCAGCGCCTCAGCTGTGGGGCAGGGAGCGTGGCGGAGGCCCCGCTTGGGCCTGGAGGAGCATCCGAGTCGGGGAGTGTCTCCCGGGAGGGGCACCGCGGGCGGCCCGCTCGGGCCGGCGGCTATGAGGGGCCGTGAGGGCTTGGCGCGGCCCTGGCCCCATGGAGAGGGTGCGCTCCCTGGTAGGGAATGGGGAGCTTTGCCTTTAGTCCGGCGTGGCCGCAGTTTAGGCGAGGTGTGTGGATGCTCCTCAGAGTGGTGCAGCCCGGAACTCCAGGGAATAAGGGGAATAGAGGTGGTGGCTCAACTTCGAGTTGGCGTGTGGGGACCACAGTTCGTTTTATTTCATGAAATGAGGAGAAAGTTCAGTTTAAGGAAAATGATCCTGTGTTTTCATTGTGTTTTCAGTGCAAGAAGCAATGAGCAGCAGCAGTGTAAGTGAGCCTTGCCGTGTCTGGGCTGAATACTCAGGCAACATCATGGGCAGGCACTTCCCGCTTCCACAGGCATTTCTTCATCCCTGTGCTTTAACAAAAATTCTTTACAACCCACCAAAAATCCTCCATAAAATCATAGGAGTGAATAAATAATTGCAAAAATCAGCTATCCTAAATCTTGGAAAAATTCACTGAAGGCCGTTTAAGGCTCACTTTAGGACATTATTTGATGTCGGTCTTTCCCAGCTCGTTCCTGTTTCTCACTACACTAATTTATTGTCAAGAGTTTGAGGTTGATGTCAGATTACATTTTAGCTGAAAGTAAACTAACCAGAGTAAATGTGAGGAGAATAAGTACTAATAGTGCCTGTATATAGCCCAGATTTAGAAACTAAGTACAGGTGTAGTATTGCATAGAGTGTTTAACAATAAGTTAAAGCAGTGTGCATGATCCACTGCTTAAATACCCCAGGTACTTCCTGGGCAGCTAATTCCTTTGTATACCAATAAAATTCAATGTGATCGATGCTAGTGTGTAAAGCTCATCGACACGTGGGTGAGCCTGACCCCCAAACGAGCAGGTCTGTGGCTTTATTGGGAGTTGACGCCCTGTGTGTGGCATTTCTGCTTAGGCTGTGAGCAAGTGTGGCAGCGCCAATGATGAGTATGTGCACTGCAGGAACAGCCTTTGAAATCTCACATGGGGATCGTTTTGTGTAGGGTAGAAGGCTTTGCTGTGGTTAATAGTCCACTTTTAATCTGGAGAGTATCCTTCTATCATGTTTAATAGCACTAATGACCCTCTAATCCATTAATTTCTTTAAGTCCCTTTTTGAACCCATTTAATTCGCCTGGTCTCCTCCTCATCCTACCCCACAGCTTCACCAGGGGCTGATGTGTTACGTGAAAAACTTCCTTGCTTTTCTTTGTCTAGGAATTTCATCAGTGTCTTGAGCTTTTGTCTTAGGTGTTTACTGCCTAATTACTGCAGTATTTGTGACTCAGGAGCTCTATCACCTTCTCCCTCTCTGCCCCACCAGTCACGTCCTTCACAGACTTTTGCTCTTCCCTTACCCGGAAGCTTATTTCTCCCTCTGATTAACCATGATAGCCCTTCTCTGTAGCTTTAGCAGTCTTACCATATACTTTCAGAGATGGGGTGGACAGATCAGCATCAGTCATCAAAATGTGGTATTTTAACCTCCATCATAATGATGTTTACTATTTTGGTTTATATTACTTTTCTAACAGCTGCCAATGTTTAACTTGACTACTGCTGAGCTGATCTTCTCAGACAACTACCAATAATCACTCCCAAATGTCTTTATTTCTGAGAGGTAATAGCTGATTTAGAGCCTGTGGCTGTATACGTACGATTAGCATTATTTTTCCAAGATGTGTTTCTTGCTGACACTAAATCACATCTCCCATTGTATCTCCCCATCACACCGTGCTGTGAGATCTTCCCCTGTTTTCAGGCATGGCCATTTGGGATAATTTTGCCTGTAAACGTTGTCACCTCACTACTCACTCCATGGTTAGATTTTGTAATGATGTGTTGAACGACAGATCACCCGGCTCAAGTCCATGAGGGATTCCATCTGTTATCCTCTTGCCTTGGGGAATGAACATAAAACTGTTTATTCCTCCCCTTGGTTTCTCAATTTTTTTTAAGCCAGTTATCTACAGCAGAAGTTTGCTTTCCTATCCCATGAAACCATGGTTGCTTAGAATCTGACAGGGTATCTTGGTGAATCCCCATGAACTCATGAGGGAAAAATCCCAGTTAATGTTAGTGATGGGTTAGCCTGTTTTATGTAAGTAAAACTAAGATATGCTTACTTCTGGTGTTCTTTTTTCTCTTTTTATAGAGTTTTATAGCTGCTTTGATCCTTTCCCAATATTGCTATGTGTGCAATGTGAGCAACACACCCAATTTCTTAATTAATTTTTCAATATTTT